AAACTATGAGAAAAACTCCCAGGAGTTGCGAATTGCCTTCAAGATCATGGACTCTGTGATGACTTTTCAAGGGTCTGAAAGTAGTTTCCTTTTTAAACAAAAAAAAAAGAAGTTTGCAAATTTTCTTTTCTTATTTAAATTATATTATCCACATATGCATTTTAAATATTAATTTTACTTATATTTTTGGTATTGAATGAGACTTTCTATTTGTCAATTTCATAATTTTTTTTTTTAATTACAATACAGATTTGTATTTAATATAATTATCTATTATATCTTAGCAGCAAATGTTGAAGCAATAATTTTTTTTTTTTATTTTATCATCTTTTGCCCATACGTGTCAAGGGGAATTAATTATCAAAAAATAATCATGTCATCAGTAATAAAATAATAATAATTAAAAAAAAAAAAAAACAATTTGTTACGTAAATAATGTAAATGTACAAAGAAGCATGTAATTGTATAGATGAGCGAGAATCGTGTGCTACGCTTTCTAAAAATGTCTAAAATCAAGTTATGTAATTGAATTTCTTAAAAAAAAAAAAAAACTTTTCTTGCAAAAAATTAGTGCATTATTTGTACATCTGAAGTGTAAAGTGAAAGAGTTAAGTAAAAATACGAGTGCGATTTTTTTTTTTTTTTGTGAAAGTGCAACTGTATTTTTACTATTTTTTTCTGATATGAAAAAAATGCATATGAAAACTAGAAGCACACTGAAAAAAAATTTATCAAATAATTATTGTATTTTTTTCAAATACAGAAATTATTGGTTCAAGTAAATATTTATTTTAAAAATAGTCTATTATTTGAATGAAATAAATTTTTTTTTCAAGATTGCAAAAGCTTGTTTTTTGAATCATAAGATCCATCCTTAAAGTAATAATATAAATCAAGGATAGCCTTTGTTATTTGCCAATAATTATAGTTGTGTGATGGAAGGATGGATTTAAAATTTTAAAGATACTGTTACCGAATAACCTTAACACACTTTGAAAATCGAGATTTATTTTTATTTTTAAATTACTTGTTTTGAATTCTAATATGATTTTTATCATATGAAAAAAAAATGAATAAGAAATTAATTACGTACAAAAAAAAAGATACTTGTATAAAGTAGGTCTATTATGAGGTGTTTAGGGAAATTTTTCTTCTTCTAAAGCATATATATATATCTCAATTTTTCAAAGCTCAATCTCTTTAAAATAAGACTTCCTTCTTTATGTCTGTTTTTATCTTAATATACTTTTTTTTTATTTTTTAATTAACAGTAACCTGAAAGGTAGATTTTTTGATAGAGTTGTTCATTAAACACCCGTTATATGAAATCAACTCTTGTTCGCGTTCTTTCGAGAACGGAGCACAGAAGAACGAACACTTTCACATAGAGGCCGAGTTTAAATATCATGGTCATATTTTCTAATCGCGTCTCTTTATCCTTTATCCATTCGCTCTATCTGGAATTAATGCATTGTTACTCTCTCATTGTTATTGTGTATACTAAATATATGAATTTCTTTCTCTTTAAAATGATTCCATTATGTGATCACTTGCATTTATATGATCACTCCCGCGAACTTTTGCCGAAATCGAAAAAAATTAATTTCCCCCCATTTCTTATTTATATACTAGCAAAATTAAAAGCGCGCAAGCACGCAAAATTGAGTTTTTAATTGTTTGTTATAATGAAATTAAAGATTAATATTATCAATAATAATTTAATTTTTTAGAATATTATTACATATTAAATGATAAAAATGAAAATTATATGTTTACAGGCCTCGGATTATACGACTTTTTTCAAAAATACAACTTTTATCGACTTATTTTAATAAAATGCGACATTTTTTTTTTACATTTGAAAAGAAATGTAAATAAAATACATTTTTTTTATTATAAAATGTAGATCTTCTTCAGATCTTCTTGAATTCAATTATTTAACAAATTTTGAACTAAAATGATTCTTCACTAAATTAATTATATTTTTAATAATTTTAATGAAATACATCACAAATTCAATTATATCAAAATTATTTTTCAATTAAAATTTTTATGAAAATTAACAATTGTTTATAATTAAAAAAAAAAATATCACAATAAAATTGAATTATTTTTTTGAAAATTTCAATTCAAAATAAAACTAAAATTCAATTATTTCCCGAAATTTTAATTAAAAATCAATTAAAAATCCAATAATTATCAAAAATTTTCAATTTAAAATTTAATTATTTACCAAGTTTTCAATTTAAAATTAAATAAAATTCAACTATTTTCTAAAATTTCTATTCAAAATTAATTATCCAAATTTTTAATAAAAAATGAACTTCAATTAAATTATTATCCAAAATTTCAATTAAAATTCAATTATTTCCCAAAAATTTTCAATTCAAAATGAATTGAAATTCAATTATTTTCCGCAAATTTAAAATCAAATAAAATTTCATTATTCTCAAAATTTTGAATTCAAAATTAATTGAATTTTCAATAATTTGAATTTAAAAGCATCTAAAATTTAATTATTTCTAAAAATTTTCCATCGAAATTTTTTTTTTGAAATTTAATAATTTCAATTATAACTCTAAGGAAATTCAATTATTTTTAACTATTTTAATAATATTCTTTGAAAATTCAACTATCTGAAACCATTTTTCAGTTGAAAATGATTTTCAAATTATTGTATTTTGGCCGCATTTTCTAATAAATTTTTAGTGAAATCATCTAAAATTTTAATTAAAAATCACTTAAAGTTTCAATTAATTTCAAAAATCTCTATTTTAAATCTTTGAAAATTCAATTAAATTTAAAAAATGTTTTCCAAAAATTGTTTGATAAATTATTTTTAGTTCTGTAAAATTTAATAATTGTTTGAAAATTAACAATATCTTTTAAAATTTAATTATTTCTAAAAATTTCAACTTTATCCCTTCGAAAAGGATTATTATTAAAAAAAAAAAAAAAATTTCTATTTAAAAATCTGTCAAATATTTTTGTTAAAATAAAAAACAAATCAACTTTTTTTTTGGAATATAAATCTACTAAAACGACTTTTTTGTGTCTTTAAGTTGATTCGAGGCCTGTGTTTTTATAATTAATATTTAATAAGTATTCGTTGGCCCCTGGTACCTTAAAAATTAATTTTAAAAAATAAATTATTTTATTATTATATAATAATAATTGCTCAAAGAAATAATAGAACGTTAATTTTACTTTTTCTCGAAAGATCGACAAATTTTTATTTTTGCGTATTGCAAAATAAAAAAAAAATTATTTAAATAAATAAATCAAATAAATATTTATTTGTCTTAAATAATTATTATTTTAACAAAAATTAAACATATATTTTTTTTTAAATTAAGAATATTCTTTTCTCTAGGTGTATTTTTGTTTCAAATAGAGAAATTATAGATATACAGTTTTATTATTCAAATAAAAATTATTTGCTTCACTGAAAAAAAAAAATTTATTTGATTCAATTACTCGATTACTTGACTATTATTAAATAAATATTTACTTGAACCAAATGATTTTTATTTGGTTTTATTTTTATTTTATTTTCTATTTATTTATTTATTTATTTATATATTTTTTCTTTTTTTAGAATTAAATAAATTGTATTTGAAGCAATAATTTCTGTATTTGAAATAAATACCATCACAGAAAATTAAAAGGCATTAAAATAAGCTGCAATGCTTATTATTTTAATCCAATTTTGCTTATTTTAATCCATGTTGGTATTAAAATAAGCAAAATTGGATTAAAATAATAAGCGTTGCAGCTTATTTTAATGCCTTTTAATTTTCTGTGATTTAATTGATTCAAATAATAATTATTTGATATAAATAAATATTTATTTATCAAGTAATCGAATATTTGAATCAAATAAATTGTTTTTTATTTTTCAAGTAATCGATTATTTAAATTAAATAATTATTTTTTCGATGTAAGTAAAATGATTTCAATTTTTTTTTCCAATCAATAACATTTTTGGCGCGAATAAGTTGACCAATATAAGAAATTATTCAAGAAAAATTTTGTGATTTAATTTAAAAATTCCCGCCAAAAATTTTTGTTCGGACAAATAAAAATTCGGTCAAATCAGAATTATTATTTAGTGTTTTGAAAATTTAAATGACAATTTCTGCAAATTTTGGATAATAATGGAAATTGAAAAAATTCAGTCAAGTAGAAATTGAAAAAATTCAGTCAAGTAAAAATTTTGATGAAAATTTTATTGCAAATTGTGTTTAATGAAAATTTTGTGCAAATTTTTATTGAAAATTCGAAATAGAATATTTAGAAATTCGAACTGGACCACCAAAAATTTTGTTATTAACTATTATTATCATTATCATCATCATCATCATCATCATTTCTGTTGGAATTGAATGCAACATTTTTCTTCGTAATTCTATAGTATTATTATACTTTAGTCGCAGAGAGAAAGAATTCCTTCATCTCTTCTAATTGAAGAGTATGAAAAATTTCAATTGTTTTTCAAAGAACAATTTTGTTTGTTCCTCAGTAGTAATATAGAGGGTGAAAGTTCTCTATGGCATTTTACTTGTTTGTTATTCATATATTCTTCTTAAATTGCAAATGCATTTTCTGTGCGAAACATATATATATATATAATAATTAAAACGAATACAATCAAAAAATTTACATTTCTCATATATAATCATTTCAATTATTATTATTATTATTATTATTATTATTATTATTATTATTATTGAAAAATTATATACGAAAAAAAGTGATTGAAAAAAAAATGTATTTTTGGAAAAATTTGCAAAAAAATTTTTTTTTTGACTTCTTTTTCGCGAAAATTTTTTTTTAATTTTACATTACGTGAAATGTAATTTTCGAGCACTCATAAAAGTGTAAGAGAGACAATCTTCACGAATGATGCGAATGTTAGGCACCTTTCTCGCGTTTCACGTTTCTTTACAGTGGACATGGTAAGGGGCCAGTGACGTCAGTGGTTCACTTCAGTTGCTACTCTATAGCCTCTCACTTTGTCGACGGCGCTCGACTCGAATGGTTCTCGCAGTTAAATATCCCTTCTATTTTATTTTTTTTTCGGTGTAATTTTTCAAAAGTAAATTTTTTTTTTAATTAAAAAAAAAAAAAAAAAAAATGGTGAACTAACATATAAAAGTGTGGCAAAATGTACAGAGAGTGATGTAAAGGTGTAGACAAAAATTGTTGAAAAATTAGTGTTTAAGATAAAAAAAAAAAAAACTGTGACAAATTGTGTGGTAGGTCATTCAATCGGTTGATCGATCTCGTCCTCAATTCCCCATTTCGAAAAATAATAAATTCAGTGTGACAGTAATTTTTTTTTTTGTGTGTCGTGTCATTTATTAGGATATATTGGATGTATTTTTCTTTCATCAAAGGTAATTTTAATTTATAATTTTTTTGAATTAACTATACCGAATGGGAAATTTACCATTGGCAAAAGAGTGGCCCAATATTGGACCAGCATTGGTTCCATAGTGAGCCAATAGTTACCATTGGCAATTTCCCACTTAGCCTTAATCCAAATAAAATAATTTAAAATTCTGCGCTTTTTGTTCACACAAAAAACAAATACTGAAACCATTAACATCTTAAAATAAAAATGCCTTAAAACTAGTGTAATTTTAATCTTAAAACTAGATTAAGTCAATTTTAGGACTTAAAATCATACACTCAAGGTTGAAATTCAGTAAAAATGGTTCTAATGCCTTAAAACTAGTGTAATTTTAATCTTAAAACTAGATTAAGTCAATTTTTGGACTTAAAATCATACACTCAAGGCTGAAATTCAGTAAAAATTGGTTCTAATGTTAACGGTTTTATAGTTAAAAGTGAACTGAAAGTAAGTATTATTTTTTAGTGTGTTGACGAAAAAACCTTTTTTAAATTATAATTTCACAATTAGAGGATAGTAAAAAAATATTCTAAATCGCTAATAAAAGAGGATTTCGAAAAAAAATGTCTGACTGTTGTTTTCGTCCCACGCGTATCTTTTTTATTTTTTTTTTTAACGGATTTCGTACGCCTACAAAGTGGAGAAAGGTCGTGATCGCTTCCCTAAAGTGCCCTGGTTAAATCCTTTTATAAATTCAAATGATTTGGTCATTCCTTTTGTCATTTATTTCTAATTATCTATTGCATAATCATATAGTTATTATATACCGGATCAACAGGTTGCGTTGAGTATACGTGTTTATTCATCATTAAAAAAAAAAAAATGAAGAGACAAATTATATTTTTGTCATCGCTAATCCATTCTTTCAAATTTTTTTCTAAAATGTCGCAAGGGACTTATATAAATTAAAAATTGAATAACATTTAATTTATTTCAAATTGTAAGAGAAAAATTATTTTTATGATATAATATAGTTTTTCTAATTTCTTTTTTTTAAATTGCTTTTTAAAATCTTTTATTTTTTTTTTTTTTTGTAATTTTTCTTTTCTGACTAAAAAGTGTTGAAAGCTAACTTTTCTTATATAGGGAAGAGAATTTCTTTTCACTTGTATATTCATTTCCATGAAAGCGATTTGTCTTCGTCAAAAGTACTTTGCGAGTCCTTTGCGCGCATAAGTATGGCGGCGAACAGATGGTCAGGTTTTTTTTTTTTTTTGCTCAACAGTCTATTAGGTACATGAGTCATTAAAACCTTTAAGCCCTAACGGTTTAAGTTAAAATATTATTTAATGTATTTGCACGTCTAGCAAAAAAAAAAAAATACCTTCATTTATGTTTTTTACAATATTTTTTCAAAAATAAAAAAAAATTGTATATAAAAATTTTTAATTTTTAAACGTGAAAAAAAAAATTATAAATGAAATTTATAATTTTGCTATTGAAATTTATGTGTTTATTTTGTATTCTAATATTATTCAGAGTTAATTTTTTTTCTAAAATTGAAAAAATTAGTTATACATAATATATGAAGGATCGAAAATTGTCATATAAAATACGTTTAATATGACTTGACAATTTATCTTGTGTATAATTCTACGTTTTTTTTTTTTTGCATTGACTCCATACCTATAATTTATCAAAGACAATTCTACAATTTGCATCAATATTTCATAAACGGAAAACAATTTTTTAATTTTTATTTTTACACAAATAAAGTAATGATTAATTTCTTCATCGCAAATTTCTATTTTTAGAATACATTAATTTCAAAAATTGGCTAATTGTAATTTTTTTTTATCATTTTTATAAATTCGTGAAAGGGGAAAACAATTTTTTAATTTTACTTTATTAATACAAAAAAAAAAACAAAAAAATTAATGCCAAAAAAAATTTGGAAGCAACCAAATTTTGGTTAAATCAACAAAATAAATGCATTGATATACAGTTAACCAAACGTTTATTTAGCTCAATCAAATTTTTTCTTTGTTCAAAAAATTTTTTAAAATAAACCGCAAACAGTTATTTAGATCAAATAAATATTTATTTGAATTAAACAAATTTTATTTGAACTAACCAAAAAATTGGATAAATATAAAAAAATGCACCCAGAGAAATGATTTATTTGAACCAAATAAAATATATTTGAGTTAAATAAACGTATATTTGTCTCAGAGCCTACTAACTTATTTATTTGGTATAATTAAAAATTTTATTTGTCATAAATAAATTTTTCTTTGGTTCAAATAAATTTTTTATTTAAACGAAATAAAATATATTTGCAACAAATAAATGAGTTAGTAGGCTCTAAGACAAATATACAATTTCTCTAAGTGTGGTACATCTGGTTTAAACATATCTTTTTTCTGAGTGCAATTTTGGTTCTTTGTAACCAAATTTTGGTTGGCCTGTAACAAAGTTGGTATAGATTTATCTCAACCAAACATTTGGTTAGGCCAACAAAATTATTTGGTTGCACAGAAAATTATAAGGTATTAAAATAAGCTGCAACGTTTATTATTTTAATCCAATTTTGCTTATTTTCATCCAATTTGGTATTAAAATAAGCAAAATTGGATTAAAATAATAAGCGTTGCAGCTTATTTTAATGCCTTTTAATTTTCTGTGTGAACATTTTTAAATACCAACCAAAATTTTGGTTGTTTTAACAAAAAACTTTTTATTGGCCCAATCAAATTTTGATTGCTCTGACTAAAATTGGTAATTTTTTTTTTTGAATTTTAAAATTCGTGGAATATTTACAGTTAAATATTATTTATAATGGAGAATATTCATATGCAATCTAACTGCGACTGTATCTGTAAATTCTTAGTTTGAATTTAAATCTCCGCACGCATATCGCACTATTTTTTAACAATATAACAGATTTTCATTGAATGAAGTTATTCCATTTTGCTATATGTGTGGGATCTTATGTTGTTACCGTTATATTGAAACATTCCATTCGCGGTAAACATTTGAAAACGTTGCCCGACAATAATTCAACTCGCACATATATATATATATATATATATATATATATATATATATATATATATATATATATATATATATATATATATATACACTATGGGGTAATGAACTCATGGCGGGGAGGTAAAGAATTCGTGATGAGAATATATTTCAAGAAAGCAGGAATCACCTGTGAATCGTTGTTTTCTGAATATGGTAAACGATTTTCTGCTTTATAAAACTAGGCCGTAATTCGATTTCTGATTCGCGCCATATGCACTGAAGCGATGCCAATGATTGGCGCACTTTAGTTGAAAATTATATATACCTGAGAACAAGGATTTATTTTTATATCAATTTTTTGTTATTTATTGGAACAGAACGAAATTTGTATATATATATATATATATATATATATATATATACTTTATTAACAATCGAATTATTGATTTAGATTATAAAAGAAAGCATAAAAATAAATTCTATTAATGATTTCACTAAACGGTTTTTCTTGGCATTAAAAATGACTATTGGATTAAGTTCATTGTTCTTTTGTTGAATGCAAATTTAATATTATTATTATTATACATCCTGTAGAAGCTGTTTCCGCAAAACGCGTTGGTTGTATATATAAAGATAGTGTTTTAAGCCACACCTTTAAGGTCTGCATCAACGTCCCCCACAGTTTCACCTTGTTCAGGACAAATATGGACAATAAGTATTTATAATATTGTGCGACGAGAAATTTCTGATAAAAAAAAACCTCAATTTCGATTATATTCTCGCGTTTATATATATATATATATATTAAGAAATATTGCCATAAATTATACAAGATCGTAATGTCAAGTATCACATGAAAAAAAGTAGAATTTTTATCCTAAAATTGGTACACGGAAAAAAAGAAAAAATAATTTTTACTACTTTCAGAGAGTAAAATGGGAACTGTCCGTAATTTCTGCGCATCTCTGGCAAATACTTTTACTCCAAAAATAGTAAAATTTACACCAGAAATAGTAAAAATTACTACGGAAAGGGTAAAATTTACAACGGAAATAGTAAATTTTACTATTTTTTGAGAAAAAGTTGCCAGAGATGCGCAAAAACTTCGAACAGTTCCGGTTTTACTCTGAAAGTAGTAAAAATCCTAGTTGAGGGCAAAATTTTTGACATATTTTGCATAAAATTGCATAAAAATTTGAAATACTTTTATAAAATTGTATATTTTTTTTTCCTGTTTAAATTTTTACCCTAAAATCGATACACGGAAAAAAAGAAAAAGTAATTTTTACTACTTTCAGAGAGTAAAATGGGAACTGTCCGTAATTTCTGCCCATCTCTGGCAACTTTTACTCCAAAAATAGTAAAATTTACACCAGAAATAGTAAAAATTACTACGGAAACGGTAAAATTTACTATACAGAAATAGTAAATTTTACTATATTTTTGGAGTAAACGTTGACAGAGATGCGCAAAAACTTCGAACATTTTCCGGTTTTACTCTCTGAAAATAGTAAAAATTACTTTTTCTCTTTTTCCGTGTACCGATTTTAGGGTAAAAATTCAAATAGGAAAAAAAAATATTCAATTTTATTAAAGTATTTTTAAATTTTTATGCAATTTTATGCAAAATATGTCAAAACCCGCACTTGGAAAGATTCCCTGGAAAGTGTCCCTTGGAGGTTCTATCAGAATTCCGCCGGAACTTCCAACGTAATTCCATCGGAGTTCCAAAGAATTTTCGATGGAATTCGGACGGAGTTCCGACGGAATTAGGACTCTAAAAATTTAAAAAAAAATGAATCGGAATTCCGTCGGAATCCCATCGAAAATTCTTTAAAACTCCAATGAAATTCAGACGGAATTCCGATTCATTTTTTTTTTCAAAATTTTTGGAGTCCTAATTCCGTTGGAACTCCATCGGAATTACGTTGGAAGTTCCGGCGGAATTCTGATAGAACCTCCAGGGTCCACTTTCCGGGGAATCTTTCGAAGAGGGAAATTATGCCCTCA